ATCAATTCCTTCTTGATATAAAGAACTACACCCGCTTTTTTCTTTTGAGAGGAGGCCACAAAATGTATACCCAATTTAGGATTAAATAAGTACTTTTGATCTTTTAATGTAATGTGTGTTTCTTGTAAACATATAATATCATTCTTATGCTGCTTCAAATAGTAAAATATTTTTCTCCGTTTTTGTGGTGAATTCAATCTATTAACATTTAAGGTTATTAACTTAACCATCCTTTGGTTTTTGGAACTTCTGAATCAACCCTTGAAGATCCATTGTGACAGATCTTTTAGGCCTGGCTCCTCCCACTGGCTCCGAAGTAATTGCAGATGTTTGGGGCATAGCCTCTTTCTGTTGTCTTTCCTTACGCTTATGAGCCACACGTGTCATTCTTTGGTCTTTTGGATCCTGTTTTTCCTCCAACACTTGTAAATTCTGAGAATCAACTGCAGATAATGACATAGCTCCAGGTAATTCCACAATCAGTTGTTCCACTCCTTCTTCTACTCCTTTAGCTGGTGATGTAGAAGATGAATCAGCTTTCAATACCGTTGAATAAAAATGCTTTGCTTTCTGTACTGTATTAAGCCTATAGCGATTGCCAGCAAACATAAAGACCAATCCAACTGGTATTTCCCATCTAAAAGGTATTTGCTGCTTCTTCAACTCTTGAGTCAGAAATGCAAACTCCTTTCTCTTTTTTAAAATATTTGAAGGTATTTCTTTCAAAAGTATGATATCCTGAGCAGCAATCTGAAACTTCTGCTGGTAAAAGGCCTGTATAATTTCATTTCTACATGTTCTTCTAGAAAAATAAACAACAATATCTCTAGGCTGTTTTCTTTGACGTGCGACCCATGAATTGACTCTAAATATTTTTTCAATTTCTCCATAGATAATTTCAGGGTCGCAGTCTAAAGCCAAAGCCAAGGCAGCTGTTACCTCTTCTCTCAGTTTCTCTTGTGGGTTTTCCTGAAGGCCTCTGATTCTTATTGCATGTTCCATTTCTCTAAATTGCGTCATTACCACATCACTTTGAACAATCTCTATAGTTTCTTCTACTTTCTCCATTCTCTCCTCCACCCCTTCCATTTTTTCTCCTATTACCTCCACCCGATTCTCTATACGATCCATATGAAAAGCAAAGCCCTGAAAGATTTGAGACATATTCTCACATAGTTCATCATTCTTTTTAGCAAGCAACTCTTCTGTCTCCACTCTTACTTGCTGTACAATTTGTTTGGACATCTGCATCTGCATCTGCATCAAAGAATCCTGTAAGTCCTTTAAGGTAATATAAGGTGGTGAAGAGGGTGGAGGAGTTTTAGCTCTCTGTTGCGTGGCCTGTACAGCTGGAGAGGAAACAGCTGACTTAAGTGCTGGAGGGGGTACACCACGTTTAGAAGCCATTCTGAAGCTTAGAAAAGGTTTTAATATACAGTCCCAAACAGTTAAAAGTCAAACAAATTTTTCTTTAATTTTTCTTGATTTTTGGGAGATTTTTCCTTAATTTTTGAAGATTTTTTACAGTTTTAACAATGTAGCCATCCACAACCGGAAGGAAAGTAAAAGTGTCTCTTTAGCACAAAGAAGCGGCAAGCCGCAGCCATTTTTTTTCTGCAAAAAGTAACTTTCGTTTTTCAATCCTTGAGAAGAGTGCTTTGAAGTCTGAGTCAAAGTTTTGAGTTCTTTATAAAAAAAAATCCAGACTTCCTAGTTAGCTCCGTCTGTGAAAAATACTCACAATTTAATCAGAAAAAAATCAGAAGTGGAGACGGCGTCTGGCTTCGCTTGCAGCGAAGACTTCCTGATCTGCGGAGAAGCTCTGAGCTCCGGAGGAGTTCTCACCTTCACCTTGCTGGGAACACCCAGGGAAGCTAGGGAACTCGACTCCTACTCACGAGCAAGCTCTCCTTCTCTCCTTTGCCCGGAGAGAAGTTTCAAAGCGCCCAACAGCTGATAAACGCTGTTTTAGCGCTTTTTACGCAGTCCTGAATGGGAGGCTGTCAAAACAACCCCCTTCGGCAGCCGCCGAGCCACCGGAAGCTCGGGTGTAATGTATTGATATTAAATACTTGGAACTGTTGAAAAAACGGTCATAAGACTGTGTCTGTTAGGACTACATGCTCATTAACTCCTGTTTAAAGCAGGAAAGATACTTGAATCCTATTGGCTGCCTCCTTTTGCTGAGTGTATAAATAGAGGTGGACCAGCAGTTAACCAGGCTTCTGTTTAAACCTTTAATAAAGAGTTGTTGTTTCACCTGCTGCCTCGTGGATGCCTCACCGATCACCAAACATAACAAGCCATTTGTCCAGAATGCCTATTTAGGGTCTCTGGCTTGAGCAGAGGGTTGGATTAGAAGACCACCAAAGTCCCTTCCATCTCAGTTACTCTGTATTCTGTATCATGTATATACAGTAAACACTAAATAGTTTTATTGGCCAGAGGGGAAATGCAACTCTATGACAGGAGTCTAACAATAGAATTTATGTAGTTATACCTGTGTTGAAATGTAATTCTTTTTCATTTTTTTTAATGAACATGAGTGAGAAAGTTAAGTGGATGTTCTTCTAACTGGAAGTATGTTGTTCTATGTAGTTTCATAATTGGAATAGAGTAAAGAGGTTCTAGTCAATTAAGTAATAATCTTATTCCTAGAAACTGGATCAAATGCTATCTTCATATCTATGAATGCAACATAACATTTTCTCTGAGGTTGAGTGATCTATATTTCAGCTAAATGGCAAAATACTAGGCAATAGTGTAAAGCTGACCAATCTTTGCACTGTTTATTCTTCTGCCAAAATGTTATTAATGCCACATCCAATCTACAAGTTTCTGTTACAGGTATCCATCACAAAACATGTTATGAAATTCGGCAGATTGAGTATTAATTTGCTGGATTTCTTTCATATACTTTTAATACAATGGGAGAGTGTTAGATTTGTTCATAGCATTTCTGATGTCTATGTGTGTTATGCTGTTGTCCAGTATTAGCTCCCAACACTACATCCATTTTCAATAATTCCTTTGGAATTAAATCTTCCACAGTGATATTGCCATTTTAAAAAAAAATTATGAAAAATAATTTAGTAATCCCAAAAGGAAATATAGAAGTCTAGTTTGTAGTATTTTAGGCAAAAGTAAAAAAAGTGTAGACTAGTATTGTATCTAATCTAAATCTAAATCTAAAATGCAGAAGGTGTTTAAAAGCAAACATCTGGAGAAAGGCACAAAAATACAAAGGGAATCTACACCAAAATAACTAGAATTGAATATAGACTATAATCTGTAATATGATTTGTGCAAATCTAATGTGAAGGAGAATAAAAATTAAAATCTGATAAACATCTTTTCTTTAGAAGTTGGAAGGGAAGTGGTTCTACAGAGTTGTTATCATCCTAAAATTATAGGTTCTTCCTCTTGGGAAATCCTCAATGGATTCCACATATATTGTATGCATATAAATATTGCCTGATGAATGAAACTCTATATACAGAGACTTACCTATTGCAGGATGACTGGAATTCACTAGGTCATCCTGATCTGTAGACAAAGAGGCTTGTTTCTTTGATAATGGCTGTATATTTTATTATTTAGTTTTTATATCTTTAAGCTAAAATCCTCTCCAGAAAACTGACTGGAAACTGCCTCAGAGCAAGGAAGAGAACCACTTCCGATTCCATGGCTGACTATACTGAAACATTACTCCCAACCCACAGTGTTTATGCTACAATTTCCTAACTATTTTTCCACGTTGTCCTCATTTCTTATTTCTTAAGTTCAGGGTTTTAAAACTTCATTCTTTTCAACACATAAACCCAACAATCATGAAGAAAGAAATTGATTGTCTAATGAGCTCAGACCAAAACTATCAACAAGACAATTATAGACTCATTATAGACTTGTAGGAGGATGAGAGCCAAAATTTAGAAGCCATGTAATAATTTTTCCTAATTAACATATTTTAATAAATAAACTTTGAGCTTTATTATGCCTTTTAATAACATTTGCTAGATTAATTCTAATATTTGACTAAACAATATCAATAAATTTGTAAAACTTCACATAACCTGAAAACCCCAAGTGCGATGCTCATAACTTTTTCATTTTTTAGCCCAAAATGATACATATAATATTTTGATGCACATAAAATTAAGCAGTTTTTGTTTTCTGATTAAACATTTATCTACAGAACTGATTTTGAAGATAGAACAATCAATGAATGAAATATTATCTAAACTATAAGAAGAAAATAAAATATTTCATTTAAGAATATAAGAGGAACATACTTTGACTCTTTTTATATTTTTCTAAACTTGAACAAAATGTAACGAAGTCTTCTCAAAGAATCCTTTACTTCTCTATTTCTTAAACTGTATATAATAGGATTAAGCATGGGGGTTATTATGGTGTAGATCACAGAGAATACTTTATGAAGCCCATTCAGTTTGTTAGTGTTAGGTACTACATAGATACTCATCAGAGTCCCATAAAAAATAGTCACTACCAAGAGATGAGAAGAACAGGTGGAAAATGCCTTTTGTTTTCCTACAGTGGAAGGCATTCTCATTATGGCTACAATGATAAATGTGTAAGATGTTAGAGTTAATATACATGGTGGGAAAGTAAATATTGAGCTTAAAACATAAAGAAAAACTTTTAAAGCATATGTGTCCCCGCAAAATAATTCTATAATTGGGAAGGTGTCACAAAAGAAATGATCAATTCTATTATTGCAGAAAACTAATTTGGATATGATAATTAGTGTAATAGTGTTTGCTAAAAAACCACTAATCCAAGAATAGGCTATCAATTTAAAACATATTCTGCCATTCATCATGGTAGTATAATGTAATGGTTTACATATAGCTAAATACCGGTCATACGACATTGCAGACAACAGGTAACATTCCACAGATACAAAAGAACCAAAAAAATAATGTTGCACAAAGCAAGTGGTGTAAGAAATCAGTTTACTTCCAGTAAGTAAGCTGAATAGCATTTGTGGTAAGATGTTTGAACTGCTACAGGCCTCCAAGTATGAAAGGTTCCCAAGGAAAAAATACATGGGAATGTGGAGGTGTTGATCAAAAACAACCAGTAGAATAATAAATAGGTTTCCAGCCATGGTCCCCAGGTAGATGAGGAAGAAGGGCAAATAGATAGGAATATGTAGTATCTGATAGTTTCCAAATCCAAGCAGAATGAATTCAGCATTGAATGTCTGATTTATCATTTCAGTAGTTTCCAATAACTGTCCCTGGGAAAAGTAATATGGTAAATCATATTGTCATTTTTATCTTTGATTTAAAAAATATATGAAAATGGGAAAAATCCACTTCCACTACCTCCTCAATTTCGTTAGTGTTTATTGGTCCCCCCCTTAAAATATTTTTTCTAAAATAATAAAATATTATTTGACAGAGCCAACTAGGTACTTTTATTTTTACTGTTGTTTACTGACAGATTGGTCTCAAGTACCATTGTATTTTCTAAAAATAGAAATCAAATCTACATTTTACATAACAAAAGGCAATTGCTATTATGAAAGAAAACATGATTATTTACTATAAACACACCTGACTCAAATAAATTTAGTGTTTTAGAATTTTCTGACTTAAAGTATGATTTGATTTCTTTTTCTTTTTCTTTCTTTCAGCTTAGAATGTTTTCACTTATACTGCTTTGTCCTAACCTTACAATGTTCCTGGCATTTACAATTATATCACTGTTTCTTTAATGGAATGAAGTGGAGAGAAAAAACATCCATCACAAAAAGAAATGAAATCTTTAAAATTATTTATGAATATGTTAGACAAAATGAAGAAAGTTGGATATCTTTATTTCCAACTTAAAATCTCTTTCTCTATGAACTTTTGGTATACTTATAAACCCACAAAATATAAATTCATTCTCACATTTGATTTGATTTTATTATGAGACAAAGCACAAAGAAAAGAAACTTGTACCTAAAATAGGCATGACAAATGTCTAAAATGAAAGAAATATATTCCATAAAAATGATCAAATATTATAGAAACTGAATATATTACCAAAACATCTATAAATAAAGTTGTTACCACTGTCTCTGATGTGATGGAAACTTGAACAGAAATTCAGTCTTAATCCTAATGCCTTACTTAATGTTATATTTCTTTCATAGCTTTCTTACTAATATTATGTTTATATGACTGTTTGGATTTTTTAAATGTAATTGTATAATTGTGTTTTGTGAGGGTATTTTTATCAGAGTAGGAAGAAAGTTTCCTTTATTCCCCAGGCATAGGCAGATCACTAGGGAAAAAGCAGCATGAGGAAATCTAGGGAAAGAAAGATCTTCAATTTCATAAAAAAAAACCTTAGAAGAATGTTTATTGTGCAGTGTGCACCTGTTTACAAATGATCTGTTTTATTAACACCAAAAAAAACCTGATTGGGACATGATAGACTGTTACTGCAGTTGGGCAGAAAACCTAATTTAAGAGAAGGCTGTTATTCCAAAACACAGTCTGCCATTCATTGTGATAGAGCAGTTTGCATATATCTTCAATGTCCTATACTAGGTATTTATCTAACAGGTAACACTCCACAGCTCCTAAAAAAGCAAAGAAATAATGTTATACAAAGCAGGTGCTTAGTGAAATTATGTTGCTTCCAGTAAGAAAACTGGATACCATTGAGATATTTGAGCTGTAGCAGGTCTCCAAACATGACAGATTCCCAAGGAAGACATACATTGGAAGGTGGGGGTGTTAATCAAGGGCAACCAATAGAATAATAAGTAGGTCCCCTCTACATGGTCCCCTTATAGAGGAGGGAGGAGAGAAATATGTAATATCAAATTCAAGCAGAATGAATTCAACATTGAATGTCTGATTTATTAATTCTGCAGTTTCAGATAATTGTCCCTGGGAAAAATAATAGTGTAAAATCATATTGAACTTTTTCTCTTTAACTTCAAAGTATATGATAATGGGGAAAAAAATACCTGCAGAAGTTTGACTTCAATTTCTTCAAACATTCTAATTCCACAATTTCAAATTTCATTTCTGGCATTTTTGTTCTAAAATCAGAATTCTAACCTAGTGAAGTAGAGTTATATGAAAATGGAACTTTAAAGTTGTTTAAATGTGACTTTAATACTTCCAGAGTAGAACTCTCCCACTGGGTCCCAGGCCAATTTGCATCCTTATATGGAAGAATTCTGCACTTTTTTATGCATTCAATTAAAGATAAAATGATACATTGGGTCTCTCTCTATAAATGCAAGTAGTCCTTGACTTACAACCTTAATTAAATTAAATTAAAATTATAGTCATAAGTGATGGTCATTAAGTAGGTGACCATGTATTGACACCCAATTTTCTGACCTTTTTTGTAGTGGTTATTAAACCAAATTGTTTTCCCAATTGATTTTTTTGCCAGTAACTAGAAATAAAAAATGAAAAGTAGCCAAAATTGCCAAAAATCACTGTTATGTGACCAAAGGACATTGTAAATGGTCATAAATGTGAGCCATTTGCCAAGCAATTCAAATGTGAGCATGTGACCATGAGGAACTGGTGGCAATCAGAATTTTGAAAATGGGTCATAAGTAGCTTGGGGAAGCTCCATCATAATTCAAACAGTTGGGTTCTTGTTAAGTGGGGAATACCTGTAAGTATTTTATGTCCTGAAGGCATGATTTCTAACATAACAGGTATATATGGAAACAAGACGTGGAAAGTTCTCACTATTAGGGATAAAGCAAAACATAATTAAAGACAAACACAAAAACACACATCTTGTATTGACGAAAAATGAATGAATATTCATAGAGGTAAATAGGATATACCGTATATACTCGAGTATAAGTCGACACGAATATAAGCTGAGGGACCTAATTTTACCACAAAGAACTGGGAAAAAAATGGTGACTCGAGTATAAGCCTAGGGTGGGAAATGAGGCAGCTACTGGTAAATGTAAAACAGCAGAGCATATCGAGCAGTTGTTTTTCAACTGAAAGCAGAATCCCGCAGGAGAAGACATTAGCAACACTTGTAAGATGGAAACTGGGGCTGGGCTTAGTGTTAAGTTTGTGGCACTGTACTTAATGAAAACAACGTGCACAGCAGCTGCGGATCCGACCATCCTTAAGATTTAGTCCCCGAAGTATGCATAAGGTGTATAACCAGGTTGTTATGTGAAGTTGTAATCGGATTAACATCTCACCGAAAAACGTAGCACTTTTTAGAGCAAGCAGCAGTCCCGACAGAGTCCCGGAATGAGAGTTTAAAGATCACATACGCTGCCATGGGGGGGCGGTGGCGGTGTAGTGAGAAGACAGAAAAACAGCCAAATAGTTCATGAGGCCTCTTCTCTTCAAATGAAGCCATATTTAAGTTTTTTTTAAAAAGGGGGGGGAACGATGACTTCTCAACCAACTGGCCCTCCAAGAATACACATGGCCATAAAAAGTTCATGGGAAGTTACTTTGAAATGAGATTCTCCCGACCCGTAGACTACTTGAATGTGGAGGAAAAAAAAAAAGTGTCGGCCAAGTGCTTGGCCGGTGACCCATTCAGACTCTGAGGGAACCGCGGGAGGCCAGCAGAGATTCCCCTCTTGCTCGGAACAACCCCGGAGTTGGGAAAGGGGCAGAGAGAAAAGGGAAAGGGAGCTTCCGTGCCCACCGCCTCGCAACTTTTCGCGACCGCATCAGGGCGGCAAAGGCGAGAGGGAAAGAGTCAACCTGGCACCCCCTTCCGGGCCCAGACCTTCCCCGACACAACGTGCACCTCCCCCGGGCCGCAGGAACTTGCGCGGAGAGCAGCACCAGCGCCGCCCATGCACAGAGTTGGCGCTCCTACTGTAGCGGTGCGGCGGCAGCGGCGGCCATGGCGGCTCCAGCCCGGGCATCGAAGGGAAGTGCTCGCCGCTCGCTCCCCCTCCCCTGGCACTGCGCTCCGCCTGCTTGCCTGGTGGTGGCGGCGGCTAATTCTGCCGCCGCCACCACTGCTGCTACTGCCCTCCCTCGCCGTCTCCCGCATCAAACTTCAGGAGCCAGTCAGGCGGCAAAACGTACCCTCCTTTGGCGCTGCACTCCGCCTGCTTGCCTGGCAGCGGCGGCGGCAGCGGCTGCTTCTGCCACCACCACCGCTGCTGCTACGGCCCTCCCTCGTCGTTTCCCGCATCAAACTTCAGGAGCCGGTCAGGCGGCAAAACGTACCCTCCCCTGGCGCTGCGCTCCGCCTGCTTGCCTGGCGGCGGCAGCGGCAACAGCTACTTCTGCCGCTGCCAATGCTGCTGCTACCGCCCTCCCTCGCCGTCTCCCGCATCAAACTTCAGGAGCCGGTCAGGCGGCAAAACGTACCCTCCCCTGGCGCTGCGCTCCGCCTGCTTGCCTGGCGGCGGCGGCAGCAGCAGCTGCTTCTGCAGCTGCCACCGCTGCTGCTACGGCCCTCCCTCGCCGTCTCCCGCATCAAACTTCAGGAGCCGAAAAAAAACCTTTCGGGCGGTCGGTCAGGCGGCAAAACGTACCCAGCATCTATACCAGACACCGCCCTTCCAATGAGGGCATCCCATGCCCGTCTTACCTAGGGGGAGTTTTTCCAGCCCTGTGCCACTGCCGGGGCTCGGGCAAGGCTCGCCGGCGCTCCACTCACCGCCTCATTCCAATATGGCACGGTCGGCCCAAGCGCACGCGCCCGCCGTCTCTCTCCCCGATCCCCTCCCCACGCTTGTAGCTTTTTGGGCGCTTGCTGCACACTCCCTCGCGCTCAGACATGCGGAACCGTGGCGCCGGCCAGGGACGGGCCCCTCACCTCTGGGCTCCTCTCCACACCCTTCCAGCCCACCCCGAGCCCCAAGCCAAAAAATAAAACTTGAGCCTTTCCTGACTTTGTGCACCGAGAGGCGGCGCGAGCCTCCGCCCGTCGCAGCGCCACCCTGTCCCCGAGGATTTCCCACGGGGTGCACACCTGCCTCAAGTTATTCGGCACGCAATTGTGAAGGTTGCGGCCCCGCCAGGCTCGAAGTGGAGAAGGGAGGAAGAACGGGAGAATGAAAAGGAAAAAAAAAAAGCCCCCCTCAGCGTGCTGGAATGAAGGCAACTGGAGGGTTTGAGGGAGAAGCAGGCAGATGCTCAGTCAGCTCAGTTCTCCATCCATGTTTGCAGAGCCACGAACAACTTACGGTAAGCCTGTTTATTTCTACTGAAACCGAACTGCGAAACTCATTTTGCTCATGCACATTTGTAAGACTGCCGCCTAAAACTATTTTGTGACATTATTGGATATAGATTAAGCCTTTTAGTGATTGCATAGATTCCCCCCCCCCCAAAAAAAGAACTACGGTACTCACTTTCCTCAGTTCTCGAGACGCTGACTCGAGTATAAGCCGAGGGGGGCATTTTTCAGCACAAAAAACTCGGCTTGTACTCGAGTATATACGGTACTAGTTTGATTGCAAAGTGTGTAGGTTTATTTGTTTTATTTATTTTATTTTTTAAGTTACTATTGCATATTTCTGCAGGAGTTAAACATAGCCTTCTGTCCATTTTTTTTCCATTGCGGAATTCCTGTGAGATAGGGAAAACTGAAAGATCATGAGTATGAAAGAAACATTAGTTTCATAACTATGAGTATCTTCCCTGTTCCTAGCATATCCCCTATCCATTATAGTTTACTGACTCTCTTTAAATAATAATAATAATAATAATAATAATAATAATAATAATAATAATAATAATAATAATAATAATAATAATAATAATAATAATAATAATAATAAAGTTGTAAGGGACCTTGGAGGTCATCGAGTCCAACCCCCAGCTCAGGCAGGAAAACCTACAACATTTCAGACAAATGGCTGTCCAGTCTCTTCTTAAAAACTTCCAGTGTTGGAGCATTCACCACTTCTAGAGGCAGGTTGTTCCATTGGTTAATTGTTCTAATTGTAGGGAAGTTTCTCCTTAGTTCTAGGTTGCTTCTCTTCTTGATTCGTTTCCACCCATTGCTTCTCGTCCTGCCCTCAGGCGCTTTGGAGAATAGCTTGACTCCCTCTTCTTTGTGGCAGCCCCTGAGATATTGGAACACTGCTATCATGTCCCCCCTCATCCTTCTTTTCGTTAAACTAGACATACCCAATTCCAACAACCGTTCCTCATATGTTTTAGCCTCCAGTCCCCTAATCATCTTTGTTGCTCTTCTCTGTACTCTTTCTAGAGTCTCAGCATCTTTTTTACATCGTGGTGACCAAAACTGGATGCAGTATTCCAAGTATGACCTTACCAAGGCATTGTAAAGTGGTATTAACAGTTCACGTGGTCTTGATTCTATCCCTCTGTTAATGCAGCCCAGCACTGAGTTGGCTTTTTTGGCAGCTGCAGCACACTGCTGGCTCATATTTAAGTGATTGTCCACTAGGACTCCAAGATCCCTCTCACAGTTACTACTATTGAGCAAGGTACCCCCTATACTATACCTGTACATTTGCCTAAATGTAGAACCTTACTTTTTTCACCATTGAATTTCATTTTGTTAGATAGTGCCCAGTGTTCAAGTCTGTCCAGGTCCTCCTGGATAGGAATAATTGAAGTATTAAAGTCACATTTAATAATTTTAAAGTTCCATTTTCATATAACTCTACTTTACTTGGTTAGAATTCTGATTTTAGAACAAAAATGCCAGAAATGAAATTTGAAATTGTGATATTATTCTATTTATTACTTTCAGCAAACTTAAATTTCAAAAATTTGTGAAAATCAGTCACAAAATATCTGAAGTGAAATTGTTTGCAATTCTCTCCCTCTCCTTCTCTCCTCCTTTCTCTCTCCCTCTTCCTTTCTCTCTCCCTCTCCCTTCCAGATGCAGAACATTGCAGCCAATATCCAGATGATGAGCATTCCAGTCAAGGACAAGATGAATGTATTCCAAAATCAATATTTTGCCTAAATTTCTTTTCTTATTTCAGATGATACCCATTTTAAAAAATGAACTTAACTTGAAAGAATGGCAAAGAGATCTGAATCGTTTTATTTG